CACGTAGTGGCGCTAATCCACTTGTGCAGCAACTCTCGCTGGACATCTCTTTCGCAGAACGTAGCGCTTTGTCACATCAGTTGCTTTCTTGATTCATTTCTCTATAAGAGATTGCCAAATACAGCATTTGTGAATTTTTGGTTTTTCGGAATTTTTGAAAAAAATATGAAGTTGCTTTGCCGATAACCGGTGGACGTTGCGCATTAGTGAGTGGCATGCTCAAGAAAGTAAGCGACCACTTGGTTGTCCCCGCACAGGTGAAGGATCTTCGCTCTACAGATGATGGATATTAGATGGAAATATGCCGTCGAGGAACGAAAAGCCGGGTACAACTGTGCTTTCGTTTAAGAGCTTCTTAGAAACATCGCGAACACGAGATACCCAAACTAGTTATCACGGTGGTGTTGATATTTTTGTAACTGAAAATACAAAAAGAGTTTAGCTACTTAGCCATTTTGCTGTACTCTGCATACACCAGGAAAAACAGGATCTCTCAGACAATCGGTTTGAGAATCCCGTATGTTTGAAAAAGAGTATTCATCAATTTATGCTAGATACAAGCGCGCTCTCGAAAGATTCTAGTCACGTCAGTGGTCGTAATAAACACAAATTATGTCGTTTTGTCATCACTTTTACATCAACATACTAATTTCTTTTTTGTTAAAATCGGATATAGAAACGTTCCTAACTTGCAATTTTTTTAGTAAATTGTACTAGTTGTGATGAGTCGATTGGTAATGTACTTTCTGCACTGCTGCTCTGGGATCTTAGTGTTGGCTGTCTTGTCTTCGGCCCAGTTCACATCGCAAACTTATCCAGATCCACGAGTCGACCCATTCAGCTGTAAAACACCAACGACTGGACCGGTCTGTGATCCTAGTGAGCTGCTCACATTCGATGAGAAGAAAGCTCTTGCGGGAAGAATTAATCAGGTTCACTTTTCCGTAGTACATTTTTACATGAACAATTTATTATCGTCGTGGAAAATCAGTAAGAAAGAAAACAACAAATATTGTCCATGGGAAGCATACTAGAAAAGAAAGGTGCATCCTGTCCTGAAAAGCAGACCGAACATGCTGCCAGGCTGATCTTGCAGCATGAGGTGGTGTAGTGGTTAGCATGTCACGTCTGGATGTGAATAGGAGCGGTTCGATTCCTTTTCGGCCTGCAACTCTTTCCAAAAAGGGGCTCCATTCACGACAGTTTCTGCAATGGCGGCAAACAGTAAAATTACTGAGCTTTTGCCGTTAAACTCGATTTGTTTCCTTCATTTTCTTTAATACTTAAAGTAACCCGAAATGAAATGTACTGTTTAGTAAAAACATCCTGAATCGCCAAATAATATTTATTGGGAATGATTTTTCAAGTATTGCCATA